GGGAGAGAAGGCTGATCTGTGTAGTCTGATCCAATAGAAGAGCTACTGGAGCTCAAATTGCTGCAAAAAATGAATGCTGATTCTGATAGAAAGGTGTCAAAACACACAGAGCATCGCAGTTTGTTGTGTATGGGGCTGTGTAGCTGCGTAGAACGGTCAGGGTGCCCATGCTGACCCGTGTCCACAGCCAACAATGGGCACATGAGCATCAGAAGTGGACAACGGAGCAATGGAAGAAGGTGGCTTGGTCTGATGAATTTAAGAATTAGTTGAGGAACACTGCAACAAGTTTGAGGTGTTGACTTGGCCTCCATGGAGGTCCCACCTCACAACTTACAGGACTTAAAGGATTTTCTACAGATGGCTGGTGCCAGATACCATGTTGTTGATCAAACAAATAGACTCCAGAGGAATGAATAGCGAGCCACCAGACTAATAAAGCCTCTGCATGCACCTCCTCGTCCACCACCATCAATACGAGGTTTCTGATCGAAGTCAGTAAAATACAAAGTGACAAACGTTAGACGTCCATCCTCTGGGCGATGATTAGAAACTCTCAGAGTGAGTTCCGTTTCCTGGCAGAGGCCCAAAACTTTGCTAAACATTTTCCCTCCTGAGCCGCTCTCGGAAAATCAGAAAAGTCAATCCCTTTTGGTTGAGATGTTCCCTATTGAATGTTCTGTGTGAAGTTTCCGGGTCTCGGCCTCCTGACTTCTCTGAGTTTCCGATGCGGATTGTACAGATTAAATCTTCCTTTTATCGATCGCCCCCGTCTGTCCTCTGCCTGCTCCGGGATGGGGGGGGGGGGCGGGCACTCTGCTTACAATACTTATCCCATTTATTATCATTTTATTCTCTACTTATTGATGCAAGAAGGCCACACACTCCGCTCTCCCTCCACAAAACATTCGACACTGGAATACTAATGGGAAAATAATTGATTAAACAAGAGCGACTTAAATGTCTGTAATAGAAACTTGCAGGATTGTGTCCGGGGAAAACGCTAAGGCTTATTAGCTGGAACTCTGATACGTGTTTCCTTCTCCCTGGAGGACTTGTCATTAAATTGCTTTATATTTACTCTGTGTGTTCAGAAGTCTTCTACACGTCTTGTACGGGTCTGGGTTATGGAAAGGGCAGAGTGTCTACCGGCTCCAGAGACCCATCACACCGCCCACTTCCCCCAGCGAGGACATTGACAACTAATCGTTCTGGGTGTGTTATCGGCTTCAGCCCTGGCAGGTGTCACGGGCTGACCTGAGGCATGACGATCTTGTGGTCCTCACCACGGGCTGACCCGAGGCATGACGATCATGTGGTCCTCACCACGGGCTGACCCGAGGCATGACGATCATGTGGTCCTCATCACGGGCTGACCCGAGGCATGACGATCATGTGGTCCTCACCACGGGCTGACCCGAGGCATGACGATCATGTGGTCCTCACTACGGGCTGACCCGAGGCATGAAGATCATGTGGTCCTCACCACGGGCTGACCCGAGGCATGACGATCATGTGGTCCTCACCACGGGCTGACCCGAGGCATGACGATCATGTGGTCCTCACCACGGGCTGACCCGAGGCATGACGATCATGTGGTCCTCACCACGGGCTGACCCGAGGCATGACGATCATGTGGTCCTCACCACGGGCTGACCCGAGGCATGACGATCATGTGGTCCTCACCACGGGCTGACCCGAGGCATGACGATCATGTGGTCCTCATCACGGGCTGACCCGAGGCATGACGATCATGTGGTCCTCACCACGGGCTGACCCGAGGCATGACGATCATGTGGTCCTCACCACGGGCTGACCTGAGGCATGACGATCATGTGGCATCTTAGTCCTCACCAGACCACCACACAAAGGGGTGATGAACCATCACCCTTATGGCCCATGGACTACATTGTTGCAAGATGTCACCAAGTCAAAGCCCTCAGGATCACATCATGAGGGTAATGCGGGAACTGAGTGTCAAGGTCCTACCTTTCCTCAGGGCTTGTGCTGCTCAATGTGCTGGCATCCATCTTAGGTGTCTGCAAAGCATTGTGGGATGCTTTATGCTTTCAGCCCTCTGCGGCTCCTTCCCCAGGAGGTGGCGGCTTATCACATATAAGTCTGCTGTTTGTAGCTGTCCATTGCATTCGTGTCCTGTCTGTTGCACAGCTGCAATCTCCTGTTTAGTTTCTCATTGCTCTCCTGGATACCGACTTGGCTTTGGCAAGACACCTCCTGGCTTCTGACCCCGGCTCTGGCGAACATCCTTCCTGGCTTCTGACCCCGGCTCTGGCGAACATCCTTCCTGGCTTCTGACCCCGGCTCTGGCGACCATCCTTCCTGGCTTCTGACCCCGGCTCTGGCGATCATCCTTCCTGGCTTCTGACCCCGGCTCTGGCGAACATCCTTCCTGGCTTCTGACCCCGGCTCTGGCGACCATCCTTCCTGGCTTCTGACCCCGGCTCTGGCGATCATTCTTCCTGGCTTCTGACCCCGGCTCTGGCGACCATCCTTCCTGGCTTCTGACCCCGGCTCTGGCGACCATCCTTCCTGGCTTCTGACCCCGGCTCTGGTGATCATCCTTCCTGGCTTCTGACCCCGGCTCTGGCGATCATCCTTCCTGGCTTCTGACCCCGGCTCTGGCGACCATCCTTCCTGGCTTCTGACACCGGCTCTGGCGACCATCCTTCCTGGCTACTGACCCCGGCTCTGGCGATCATCCTTCCTGGCTTCTGACCCCGGCTCTGGCGATTATCCTTCCTGGCTTCTGACCCCGGCTCTGGCGATCATCCTTCCTGGCTTCTGACCCCGGCTCTGGCGATCATCCTTCCTGGCTTCTGACCCCGGCTCTGGCGATTATCCTTCCTGGCTTTTGACCCCGGCTCTGGCGACCATCCTTCCTGGCTACTGTCCTACCAAGTCATCCGCTGTTGCTGTTGGACTTGCATAGACTCTGTCTTGTTTTTGTATAATAAACCTACCTTTAATTGAACCTCCTTGTGTGTCTGGCTCCTCGCTCCCTGACACTGAGTGGCTGTAATGAGGTGACAAGATAACAGCACTGTGATTGGTGAAGGTTCAAGTGGAGGTTGCGGCAGGCACTAATATTCCATTTCCAGGCAGAGGACAAGGCAAGTAGCTGGCAAGAGCAGTCAGTTTCCAGGCAGAGATTTCAAGGTAGGCAGCGGGCAAAAATTGATCAGTGTCCAGGCAGAGTTCGAGGCAGGCAGCAGTGAAGAATAGTCAGTGTCCAGGCAGAGGTTGAGGTAGGTGCAGGCAGGAAAAGTCACTGTCCGGGCAGGCAGGAATAGCCAGTGTTCAAGCAAAGGTCAAGTCAGGAAAGAATAGTCTATGTCCAGGCACAGGTCAAGGCAGGCAGGAATAGCCAGTGTTCAAGCAGAGGACAAGTCAGGAAAGAATATTCCGTGTCCAGGCAGAGGTCGAGGCAGGCAAGCAGCAAGCAGAAATAGTCAGTGTTCAGGCACAGATTAAGTCAGGCAAGCATGGTCAGTGTCCAGGCAGAGGTCAGAGCAGGCAGCAAGCAGAAATAGTCGGTGTTCAGGCAGACATTGTCAGGCAGCAGGCAAACTTAGTCAGTGTCCAGGCATAGGTTGAGGCAGGCAACAGGCAAGAATAGTCAGTGTCCAAACAGAGATTGACTATTTGTGCCAGCAGTTTACCTCAATCTCTGTTTGAACCCTGACTATTCTTGCCTGCTGCCTTCCTCGACCTCTGCCTGGACCCTGACTATTCTTGCCTGCTGCCTTCCTCGACCTCTGCCTGGACACTGAGTGTTCTTGCCAGCAGCTTACCTCAGGCAGAGGTCGAGGAAGGCAGCAGGCAAGAATAGTCAGGGTCCAGGCAGAGGGTCGAGGAAGGCAGCAGGCAAGAATAGTCAGTGTCCAGGCAGAGGTCGAGGAAGGCAGCAGGCAAGAATAGTCAGGGTCCAGGCAGAGGTCGAGGAAGGCAGCAGGCAAGAATAGTCAGGGTCCAGGCAGAGGTCGAGGAAGGCAGCAGGCAAGAATAGTCAGGGTCCAGGCAGAGGTCGAGGAAGGCAGCAGACAAGAATAGTCAGGGTCCAGGCAGAGGTCGAGGAAGGCAGCAGGCAAGAATAGTCGGGGTCCAGACAGAGGTCGAGGAAGGCAGCAGGCAAGAATAGTCAGGGTCCAGGCAGAGGTCGAGGAAGGCAGCAGGCAAGAATAGCCAGGGTCCAGGCAGAGGTCGAGGAAGGCAGCAGGCAAGAATAGTCAGGGTCCAGGCAGAGGTCGAGGAAGGCAGCAGGCAAGAATAGTCAGGGTCCAGGCGGAGGTCGAAGAAGGCAGCAGGCAAGAATAGTCAGGGTCCAGGCAGAGGTCGAAGAAGGCAAGAATAGTCAGGGTCCAGGCAGAGGTCGAGGAAGGCAGCAGGCAAGAATAGTCAGGGTCAAGGCAGAGGTCGAAGAAGGCAGCAGGCAAGAATAGTCGGGGTCCAGGCAGAGGTCGAGGAAGGCAGCAGGCAAGAATAGTCAGGGTCCAGGCGGAAGGCAAGAATAGTCAAGGCAAGTGGCATGCAGTAATAGCCGATGCTCAGGCAGAGGTTGCGTAAGGCAAGTATAATCTCTGTCCAAGCAGAGGTCGAGGCAGGCAGTAGACAAAAATAGTCAATGTCCAGACAGGGCCGAGGGGCGGAGAGGAGTCTTTTGTGACTGGCTCGGGTGTGTTTAAATTTCATCTTCCGCTATTGAGGTACGTAGTTTATAGCTGAGACCACACAGGGAGCTTTGCCCGCTGCCTAAAAAGAAAAATTCACAATATACATATGCAGTGTTTTATATTTATGTAGGTTTTTGTTTTTTTAGTGCTGACTGTATTAAATAAAAAAAATGTACAGACCCCCACCACAGGATCCTTTCTTTGTGTTTCAGGAAAAGGTGGCACCTCTTCCCCCCTGAGGACTCGGATCACCTGTACCCCACCCGCATCCCCTATGAGGAGTCCAGCATTTTCAGCAGAGTTAATGTGGTGAACCCCGACCGGAGCCGCTACCCATCGTTCTGCCATGCCCACCCACATGTGGTCACCCTGCACCCTGGCCAGGTACGTCACTATTGGTCAGTTATAATAGTGTACAAGTTTGGCTAATTATTACTCAAATTCAGGAAAATAAATTGGCAACAAATGGGGGTGTGGTTTGGGGAGGAGGTGCATATCACCCGTAGGGGGGGGGGGGGGGAGGGGTGAAGGGGGAAGTTGCTCATTCGTTGGATGAAAGGAAGTGTGGGATTGGTTATTGGGTGATCCTTGGAGGAGGTGCATATCACCCGTGTGGGGGGGAAGGGGTGAAGGGGGAAGTTGCTCATTCGTTGGATGACAGGAAGTGTGGGATTGGTTATTGGGTGATCCTTGGAGGAGGTGCATATCACCCCGTGTGGGGGGGTGAAGGGGGGAGTTGCTCATTTGTTGGATGACAGGAAGTGTGGGATTGGTTATTGGGTGATCCTTGGAGGAGGTGCATATCATCAATATGTGTGTAGGGCTAGGGCAGGGGTCTGCAACCTTTAAGACATAAAGAGCCACTTGGACCCGTTTCCGAGAGGGAAAAAAAAGACTGGGAGCCGCAAAACCATTGCAACATTTAAAACAAATCCGACACTGCATATATTGCAAAAAGCGCTCTGGTCATGAAGGGGGTTTAAGGGCCCAGTAAGCAAAGGGTTAATCAGGGCCACAGTGTATCGTCATAATTACAATCATAGCCTTAGGTCAGTGGTGGGCAACCTTTTTTTTCAACTGAGCCAAATCTCGCCAAAACCACGATTGAAATTTATTTTGAGAGTCACATTTTTAAAACTGAAAATACATCCCCCATATAGTAATTCATCCCCCATAGTAATTCATCCCCCATATAGTAATTCATCCCCCCCATATAGTAATTCATCCCCCATATAGTAATTCATCCCCCCCATATAGTAGTTCATCCCCCATAGTAATTCATCCCCCATATAGTAATTCATCCCCCATATAGTAATTCATCCCCCATATAGTAATTCATCCCCCACATAGTAATTCATCCCCCATAGTAATTCATCCCCCATTTAGTAATTCATCCCCCACATAGTAATTCATCCCCCATAGTAATTCATCCCCCATATAGTAATTCATCCCCCATAGTAATTCATCCCCCATTTAGTAATTCATCCCCCACATAGTAATTCATCCCCCATAGTAATTCATCCCCCATAGTAATTCATCCCCCATAGTAATTCATCCCCCCATATAGTAATTCATCCCCCATAGTAATTCATCCCCCATTTAGTAATTCATCCCCCACATAGTAATTCATCCCCCATAGTAATTCATCCCCCATATAGTAATTCATCCCCCACATAGTAATTCATCCCCCCATAGTAATTCATCCCCCATTTAGTAATTCATCCCCCATATAGTAATTCATCCCCCATATAGTAATTCATCCCCCATAGTAATTCATCCCCCATTTAGTAATTCATCCCCCACATAGTAATTCATCCCCCATGTAGTAATTCATCCCCCATAGTAATCCATCCCCCATATAGTAATTCATCCCCCATATAGTAATTCATTCCCCATATAGTAATTCATCCCCCATATAGTAATTCATTCCCCCCTGTGTCAATTCACTTACCTTTGCTCTGCGCGTTCCTCTCGCCGTGTTCCCGCTCTGTTCCGGTCTTCAGGGCGGACTGTGAGAGGAGAGGAGTTCGTCACGCTGCCCCGCCTACATCCTGACAGCCAATGTCCTGACTTTTGGGGCGGCCGCCCGAGAGGAGGGAGGGGAGCGGGCGCCCGGCACACAGAAGAGCCGCATTAAAATGTGTAAATAGCCGCGGCTTGCCGACCACTGAGCTACGGCAACCCTATTGCCTGTCACCTGGTGGGCAGTGTGCTCCGGAGCCGCAGCAAAGGTGAAAAAGAGCCGCATGCGGCTCTGGAGCCGCGGGTTGCCGACACCCGGGCTAGGGGGAGTTGTACCCTCGGTGACTGAAGGGATGGAATCGCTTCATGAGCGAACTTCAGGGGAGGTTCATGTCATCAGTGTGTTTGTTTGTAGGGGTTGGGCGGGGGTTGCAGTTCGGTGTTGACATGCTTTGGGTGACTACAAGTGGGGGTTCATTTCAATAAGCCGGCCTACATGAAAGAGACTTGCAAAAGAAGTCCCTGATCCTGCGACACCATGTATTTTGGTGTGGATTAAAGGGCATGCATTAGATGCGAGGCAACGCCATTAAGAATGCAATCAAACCATTAAGAATTAGTTGCACCGCGCATGCGTCTAAGGGGCATCTCGTTTCTGTACATGTCAGAAATGGCACGTGATTTTGCACACACTCAGCCACCTAACCTAACACTAAGTAGGCCCTGAATTAACCCTTGCTGAAGCAGACTAACTGCTTCCAGCACCTAGAACATGGACCCCTCCCCCAGTCCTTCACGGACCATACACAAAACACACTAACGACATACACTATATTGCCAAAAGTATTGGCCCCGCCCTCCAAATCATTAGATTCAGGTGTTCCAATCCCCTCCCAATCATGTGATTCAGGTCTTCCAATCCCCTCCCAATCATGTGATTCAGGTGTTCCAATCCCCTCCATGGACACAGGTGTATACAATCCATCCCCTAGACATGCAGACGGCTTCTACAAACATTGGTGAAAGAATGGGTCGCTCTCAGGAGCTCAGTGACTCCAAGCGTGGTCCCGTGATAGGTGGCCACCTGTGCAATAAGTCCATCCGTGACATTTCCTGGCTACTAAATATTCCACGCTCAACTGTTAGTGGGATTATAACAAAGTGGAAGCAACTGAGAACAACAGCCACTCAGCCACCAAGTGGTAGGCCACGTCACATGACAGGGCGGGGTCAGCGCATGCTGAAGCGCACAGTGCGCAGAAGTTGCCAACTGCCTGCAGAGTTAATAGCTAAAGATCTCCAAACTTGGTGTGGCCTTCAGATGAGCCCAACAACAGTGCGTAGGGAGCTTCAAGGAATGGGTTTCCATGGCCGAGCAGCTGCATCCAAGCCTTCCATCACCAAGTGCAATGCAAAGCGTCGGATGCTGTGGTGTAAAGCACACCACCACTGGACTCTAGAGCAGTGGAGGCGTATTCTCTGGAGTGACCAATCATGCGTCTTTGTCTGGCAATCCTATGGATGTGTCTGGGTTTGGCGGTTGCCAGGAAAACTGTACTTGCCTGACTTCATTGTGGCAAGTGTAAGGTTTGGTGGTGGGGGGATTATGGTGTGGGGTTGTTTTTCAGGGGTTGGGCTTGGCCCCCTAGTTCCAGTGAAGGGAACTCTTAAGGCGACATCTTGGACAATTTCATGCTCCCAACTTTGTGGGAAGAGTTTGGGGATGGCCCCTTCCTGTTCCAACATGACTGCGCACCAGTGCACAAAGCAAGGTCCATAAAGACATGGAGGAGCCAGTTTGGGGTGGAGGAACTTGACTGTCCTGCACAGAGTCCTGACCTCAACCCCATAGAACACCTTTGGGATGAATTAGGGCGGAGACTGCGAGCCAGGCCTCCTCCCCCGACATCAGTGCCTGACCTGACAAATGTGCTTCTGGAAGAATGGTCCAACCTTCCCATAGACACCCTCCTAAACCTTGTGGACGGCCTTCCCAGAAGAGTTGAAGCTGTTATAGCTGCAAAGGGCGGGGCCAACTCAATATTGAACCCTACGGACTAAGACTGGGGGGCCATTAAAGGTCATGTGTGTGGAAAGGGCGGGGCCAACTCAATATTGAACCCTACGGACTAAGACTGGGGGGGCCATTAAAGGTCATGTGCGTGAAAAGGCCGGCGGCCCAATACTTGGGGCAATATAGTGTACTTGCAGTGAGATCTGCCAATGGCAGCCAACAATTTTCTCTCGTTGCCGACCACAAAATACTGCCCCAGGAGCTCACCTGATTGAGACGCACCACAGAAGGTGCAAAAATGTCCAATGGGAGATCTGTGTGATTCTGCAAATCTCCACACACTGTACATCAAATGTGTCCATTTCTGCCACTTGGTTTTCCATGCCAGGAGATCGCTGCTCTTCCTTCTTTTCTGCTCACACCGCTATTGTAGCGAATAATCGGATTTATTATGTTAAATTTTGGATTCCATCATTGAAAAGCTTTACTAGAGACTGGCGTCTGGCCAGTGTATGGATGCCAGATGGAGGCACTCCGCTCAGACTAATTGCAGAAGCTCTGCGCTTGTCAGTTTATCATGAAAACTTCTCATGCACGCGACGGCCAGAAACGTTTGCAGGAAATCAATCCTGATACATTGTATGCCGGTCCGCCTGTGATTATTCCCACAGACAGAGCGACACCTGCTGGTCACACCGCGCATTCACACCGCCTGCCTCCAAACCAGAAACTGCTGACAGAGATGGCGGCCGGGGAAAGGGGCAGACATTCGGTGACATTTGTCACCAGGAAAGACTTTCTGCTAAGAAAAGAGACATCAACACAAAGATGTAGCCGGCTTAGTTGGTATCGCAATGTGTAGGTGACAGTGCAAAGCACCTCCTCGGCTCACTTCATATACAGAAGAAGTGCTGGGCCCTCATATAGAGAGAATAGACAATGGCAGCTCTCTAAAATCTGCCTGGAAAGATCCTCGGAACATCACTAATAGATATAGTATGGAGACACCTCAAGGTCATCGAAAGTCCAAGAACAAGAAGAAATGAGTAGCTGGACTAATGCAGGCCATAGATGGGTCGAAAATCGGCCGATTTTTCGGATCGTTAGTGGGCTATTTGTTCGGCCGTTTTTCGGTATTTTGGCACATTTTTTTTATCGGTAAAGTTGGAAAAAAAGTCGGCCGATTTTTGCCGATCGGCCGATTTTCGCGGCAATGATGGGCAAATCGGCCGATTTTTTTTACCGATAAAAAATCTGCGCATGAGCAGTGACCTGCAAGAGGAAGACAAAAAGAAGAAAAAGAAGAAGAGGATGATGAAGAAGAAGAAGAGGATGATGAAGAAGAAGAAGAAGAAAAGGATGATGATGAAGAAGAGGATGAAGAAGAAGAGGATGATGAAGAAGAAGA